TCCTTCCAGACCTTTTGCAATAATGGAGTCAGCATGTCTGCTGTAGTCTCTGGGTCTGCTTTCAGTGCTTCAGGGGTATTCCATCTGGTCCAGCTGCTTTTCCAGCTTTCAGAAGCTTGATTGTGTTCAAGACTTCAGCTTTCGTTGGAGGATTGGTGTCAACTTGCAGTTGTGTGCGCGCTGTTGTTGGTATTTCTGGACGGGTTGCAGGTGGTGGTCGGTTCAAGAGTCCTTTGAAGTGATCCGCCCATTGTTTAATCTGTTTTTCTTCCTTGGTAATTGGGTTCCCTTGGCTGTCTTTTATAGGTTTCGCTTGTGTTGATCTCTTCCCGGATAGAGATTTGGTTATCTGATATAGTGTCCTCAGGTCCCTTTTGCCTGCTGCCTTCTCAGCTTCAGTGGCGACGTTGTCGTAGAATCGTCTTTTGTCCTTCCTAGCACTCTTCTTCACTTCTTTGTCCAGTGCTGTGTAAGTTGAGCTCAGCGTCTTCTTCTCCTGTCCGTCCTTGCATTGAATCATTTTCTCTTTCACCATTCTCCTCTCTTCTATTAATTTCCAAGTGTCCGTTGAGAGCCATTCCTTGTCTTGTCTCTTCTTTCTTCCTAGAACCGTTGAACACGTTTCGTTGAGAATCGCCTTCAGAGACTTCCAATGTTCTTCCACGCATGATTCTTCAGTGATGTCGCGTAGTGTTTCCTGCTTTGCTCTGACAGTTGCAGTGAAAGTGTCCTTTGTGGTTGTGTCCTTCAGTAATTGAGTGTTGAACTTGCATTGTGGCCTATCCCCAGCTATCCTCGAGGCTTTTAGCTTCACCTTGAAAGTCCCTTGTACTAGATAGTGGTCTGAACCCACATCTGCTCCTCTCCTCGACCTTGTGTCCAGTAGGCTCCGTCTCCACTTTCTTGAAATTGAGATGAAGTCTATTTGGTTTTCGGTGTTTCCATCTGGTGAAATCCATGTCGTCTTGTGTATATCCTTGTGTTTGAAAACACTGCCACCAATCACCAAATCATTGAAGGCGCAGAAGTCTGAGAAGAGTTCACCATTGTCGTTCATTTCACCGAGGGCCTCTCAACCCATGGTGAGTTCTCTTCCTGTGTTGTCTCCTCCCAGCTTCGCATTCATGTCGCCCATCAGGATTTTGATATCGCCATTTGGGACGTTGTCCATTATTGCTTGTAGTTGTCTGTAGAACGCCTCCTTCTTCTCTTGTTCTGAGACGTTTGTAGGCGCATAGCATTGAATGACTGTAACTTTCCTTCCTTTTGAGTTGAACCTGGCTGTCATTATCCTGGAGGAGATTGGTTCCCACTGCATGAGAGCTTTGGTTGCTGTTGGTGACATCATGATGGCCACTCCCTCGGTGTGCTCGTGGTTGTCCTCTGGGTGGCCGGAATAGATTACTGTCTCTCCAGTTGGTAGTTGGCACCTTCCAGTTCCGTTCCATCTGCTTTCGCAGATTCCCAACACTTCTATTCTGTACCTTCTCATTTCAGCGGCTATCTGGGCAGCCTTTCCAGTTTCGTACATTGTACGAACATTCCCATCCTTACTTTTGCTTTCATCGAAAGAAGGCACATCGGCTGACTGGCTTCCCGAAGGCTTTCACCAGCCTGCGTTTTTTCACTTCCCCGATTCCAGCGAAAAATAAGGCTATTGTTTATGTTTTTAGAATTTTTAACATATTTATTCGTTGAAGTTTCTGTAGCGATTTGGTTGTTTTACGGGGGTGGAGTTGCTAGCACCACGCCCCAACCCTCCCTCTTTATCCGGGCTTGGGACCGGCTAGAAAACTAGTAAGCTAGTAAGTCGCCTAGCAAGCTAGTAATCTGGCGAGGTTAAATTTAACTTGAATTAATAATCCAAAGTGTGACGATGCACTCACTATATTATCAAGTGTTAGTTAGCAGGAATTTGATCACGACGTGACATCAGTTAGAGCTGAATATCGCTAATTGGTAGTAGTTGGAATTCATCAGATGCTGAACCTAGTCCTGTTGGTTGAATGGTCTAAGAGTCCACCTTGTAACTTGCAGGTTCTGAGTTCGAGTACCAGTTGTTGCGTACTGCTGAAGAGTCCCAATATATGACCAAACAGCTGTCCAATACACTCCATGGTTTCCCATTAGTTCTCTAACTAATATCAGTTCGTGACTAACTCTAATGCATTAACAGTTGAAATTTATTAGGACAAGAGGAGACATTTAATAAGTCAATGTTTCACATGTGATCTGTTGACCAGATATTTGACCTATAAGTTAAGGGTAATGTCAATGGCAGATGAAGCATCAAAGATAGGACTCCAGAGTTGATGAAGATTCCTGGCCAACACCAACATCAGCAACAACAACAGATAACAATAAGCATAAATGGGAGGTACCTGAAAGACACAACCTCCTTTATCCACCTACCTACCTGGGAAGCATCGTTTCAGCTACAGGCCGACGAAACTGACAAGGATATCAAAGCAACGATCGGGAAATTAAGACAAGCTTTCATTATTCTCAAGTCTGTGTGGAGATCAACAGGACACCTAGCATGAAAAATAAGATCCGGATTTTCAACTCCAACGTGAAGTCAGTGCTACTCTACACGGATCAGAGACTTGGCGCGTCATAAAGAGCATGTCATAAAAACTACACACCTTCATGAACAGCTGCCTTCGCTCAATACTCAAGATCAGATGGCCGGCCAGAAAAGATCAGCAACAGGGATCTCTGGGAGCGAAGCAATCAGGAACAGATTGTGAAACAAATATACAGAAAGAAATGGAGATGGATTGGCTGGCCATACTTTGAGGAAACAAACTATCAGTTAACATCACTAGACAAGCCCTTTAGTGGAACCCGAAAGGGAAGTAGCGAGTTGTTTGTCAGTGCAAGGATGACTTGGAGGAGGAGGTCACGTGAAGAGGAGATGAAAGCATATGGGCAGACCTGGAGGCAGGTGAAATCTTTAGCAGAGAACCGAACGCAATGGAGAAGTGTGGCTGAAGCCCTATGTTCTTTTAGAAGTTAAAGGAAATAATAATAGTAATAATGTCAATGGATTTTTATTAGTGTATGCTGTCCAGTCCAGGACATAGTTTTAATCATTTATTATTCATCTGAATTAAGTACATAATTAACAGTAAATTCTAATCTTACTGCAGTTAAGAAATTTTCGCCTTCTCGGTGAGGCAATAGTAGTCCAAGTGATCAGTTATATGTTGTTGTACGCTGATAGAACAATCTTGGATAAACCTAAATCCAGTATTAACGTGACCACAATTGGATTGCTTTTCAAATTCCGGATTTTTTTGAGAGCCGATATCAGTTAGAGAACCAATGGAAAACCAGTGGATACTGGATAGCTGTTTCCCCCCGTCCTAGTTTGAGACTCTTTAGCTGTACCCACCCACTGGGGTTCAAATCCAGGACCTTCCGATTATGGGGCGAGTTCCAGATAAATTCCTTTGAAATTCAATTAATCTTCTAAATTATGAATGTGAACAATAAAATCATATGCTCAGAAGAAGTATTTGAAAGATGAATTTAAGCATTGTATATGATACTTTGATCGTAAATAGCTATCCCGACAGATTTATCAAAGACCAAATGACAAAGAAAGCGGAAAAGGACTACTCACTATCCGGAAACAAGAAGTCACTTAATATATGACTGCAATTCAAGGGCGTTATACAAAGTGAGATAATTACGAGGAGATTAAGAAAATCAGTTCAAGGAACTTGTAATGCTGGCGAACTACACGTCTTATTCTCTACACGACCGATGGTGGTTCCTCGACTGAAAGATGAAGTACCTAGAGTAGACTAATAATAATAATAATAATTTTTCCTTCACGTTCCCAGTGGAACATAGGGCTCCAAGCTAGTGGCTTGAAGTTTCTGTAGCAGTGTTTAATTTTTACAGGATGGGGTTGCTAACCTCATGCCCAACCTTTCCTCTTTGCCAGCATCATTTCTGGCTCAGTGAGGTAAAGGAGTGCGCCGGCCGGGGATCGAACCCCGGACCATATGCATGGTCGGTAGACTAGCCACTTCAAATTGTATCTACCAATTCAACTGCACTTGTGGTGGAACGAGTTATATCGGCCATTGCTCTAGGAACTGGTTTTTAGGGCTTGGTCGAGAACATCTCCTACTATGGCTAAGTAAAGATGTAGTTAAAACCATTAGGAGTTCGATATTGGACCATCTGGTGCAAACTGGCCACAAAGCCAGTCAGCGTGGAAGAATCCTTCTCCATAATCTACTGGGTACCAAACAAATTGTTGAGAACATCTAGATACCGAATACTCCAAACAGCAGAGGCTATTGGAATTCGCATCAAATAACCAGTGCTCTGTGTTCAAAAGAAGCAAGTCCAGCTAGCCACTACTACTGCCCTGACCAGCCTTCAGTAGAAACTATAAATTCATGAATTTAGATTATTATCTTTCCTAATTTTTTTGACATTCAGCTTATTTTATGTTGATGTGATTGAACTGTAGGCCATTGCTATCCATATTATCGATTCGATGTTATTTAAACAACATTAATGTTGTTCTTAACACTAATTCATTCATACACTATAATGTATGTATAACTGTAGAGCCTGATGAAGAGGGGGTTATCGAAAGAGTACTCTTTGTTCAATATCCATTCTTTTGGATTTAAATACTTTATTTCATCATGAGCTGACATTGGTGAGAGAACCATTGGAAAACCAACAAGGAGTACTGGACAGCTGTTTCCTCCATCCTAGTTTAGGACTCTTCATCATTACTCACCCACCGGGATTCGAAACCGAGGACCTTCTGTTTACAACGTCAGCGAGCTAGCTCGTAGACCATTACAGCCACTGGGACTCGACCCAATGACCAGCCCATGAATTCTAACTACTGCCAATTCACGTTAGCTCATGATGAAATCCTGTAACCAGTCAATCAAATCCCTAGAAACCAACACTTGAATTTTAAATACTTTATATTGATTTTTTCCTCCTTTCTTTTTTCCCAGATCACAACTATGTATTCATTTCATCATCATCAACAACAACAGCATCACCATTCAACAAAACGTCATACTATCGCTTCAAGTAGAATCAAGACATCACGACAACATATTTCTAGTCAAGAGTCTTTATTCAGTATGCATCAATTGTTATCAGTGTTTAAAGATGATTTATCCGAATCATTGAATAAATTCTCATCCAGTACTAATACTAATAATAATAATAATCTATATACTTCACAAATATCATTCAATGAATTACCAAGACCTTATCATCATTTAGATCACTCAGCACGTAGTCCACGTGAAATATCCGATGAATCTGATGGTGCTGTAGACATCGATGATCAATATTTTAATTTTAATACAAAGGAATTAAGTTATCATTGGGAATTAACAAAGAGATCAAGTAATAATAGTAATAATAATAGTAGTGGCAGTATGGATCGAATGATAATTCGTGAGCTACACAATGTCACTAACAATAATAACAATAACAGTAATTTAAACAAAGGCATACACAAGACAAATACCTCAGAAGTGAAGAAAAGACGTTGTACTAATCCATGCTTTTCTTATCATCTCACACGACTATCATCGTCATCATCATCAACACCAGAGAACAAGTTAAGCGGTGGTACACATTCGTATAAAAGTCAATCAGCTGATTATTCACAAAGGATTATGAATGATGATGCGTCAACCTTTAAGCCAGTTGTCGGCAATAGTAATTTACAAGAGAGTAGAACAACTTCTTCAGAAATGATCCCATAGTATGGATAAAATGGGGAATTTTACTAGGAATATTATTAGGAATACACTTCTATGCTATATATATATATATATATATATATATATATATATATATGCACTTATAGGACATGTTGTACACCTTCAAAAGGTTGCCATTTACAATCACTTCAGTTGTCAACCAACTAACCAGCTAACTGGCTGGCTAGAAGAAGAAGAATAAGAAGCATAAACAGAAGAATCACCGTTTCTGTACTGACACAGTTCGACGTCTTTCAGTTTTCACATGTGTGTGTCTGCGCATCAGCGCTTGTGATGCTTTTTTAATTGATAATACATTATACATTAATTAATACGTATGCCATTGTCAAATGTTCAATAGTGTCTTTCATTATTTTTTTTTGTTTAAATTAAGTTATTTTATTTTATTTTAAGTATTCTATTTCTATCCACCGTATCTTGGCAACTTCATATTGTTAACGCCATCAAAAAAGAGCCTAATAATATTATTTCATGTAATTATTTTGTGAACTGTATTTTTGCTTGAAAATAACAGATAGATGGATAGATAGATAGATAATCGCTTACGTGACTTCATTAAACGTGTCGATTCTCTGTTTATACTTTATGAATTAAGTGTTATCAAGATGACTATATATAAATGATAATTTACGCTTTTTATAGTTAGTAGTACTTGATTTTGATATTACGTGTTTTAGACTTGCAGTTTATCACTCAATCATTCACTCACACACACACACACACATACACTCATTCGTATGTGCCTGCCTGCATAGATTGTTATTTTGTTATTCTCATATTTCTATATGAATTTCTATGAACTTCTAAACTGTTTTTTTAATTTTATACGATTAAGAAGAGAAGGAGGAGTGGAGTGAGGCGTCGTGGTGTGAGGTGGGGGTGAATTAGAGTGTAGAATACCGATTTTCAAAGTCCACTTCAGGTTGGTAGTTTAGCGGGTTCAGGTAATTAAAATATCGTACTATGTGTACTACGTTATGTAGTGTATCAGTTAACGTAAACAAACGTAAAACCATTTTTCTATGTGTTTGTGTGTGTGTGTGTGCATCTGTTGATTAAGAAAAGTAAATTTTTTGTTACCGAGTAGTCATGATGTGGTGTGTACTACTGTGATAACACTTATCAGTAGTATATGTATAAAGAGACAATTATCGATACAAAAATATCAAAAAGCAGGGAGATAGATTTGATGTCAGAGAAAGTAAGTGATACCGTGTTGCAAAGGTATATAGGAGACGTTAAAGAAGTACAAAGAAACACAACATAAAGGCCAGAATTAGCACAATACGGAAGATCTGTACAAATAGTGCGTTAAAGATAAGGTGTACATTCCCTTTACCAAACCTTTCGTCGTTGTGAACGCCATTCATGAAGTGAGGTACAGATTCCCTCCCGAACTGGATTTTTAGAATTGTTTGGCCAACGTGTCAATAGCTCGTTAGGGTTACGATCAAGGTTTGAGGTTGGGATTACGGTTAGCATGTTTTATTTTTATTATTCGTAGTTTTCTAGTAAACAGTTGTCGACCCTCTTACTGGAACCGCCATACTAATTCAATCGATGGCTTTTGAGGAAGACAGGATAAGAGCGATGAATGGGTTACAAAAAGGACTGATACTCAGACACCTCAGTGAATATATGTACAGGAACTGGTCTAACACAAAAACTGGTACTCCTCATTATCATTGGGAGATATTTTCAAGTCACTCCAGGAAAAAAATACCCTATTTAGTGTGTTTTATCTTCATCATTGTTCTCTGTAAACGTCATCTTTATGTCCGTCGGTGGCACAGTGGTTAGGACTCTCGCCAACCATGCACATGGTCTGTGGTTCGAGCCCACGCCGACGCACACCTGATATCTATGGTCGGCCTGCGAATTTTAGGCTACCGATATCCACGCTGAAAATTCCATACTTGTACGAAAAATACAGTGTGGAATCAAGCTGTAATCAAAAATAAAAACCCATTGGTGTTTACGATTGTTCGCCTCAAGGTCACGCTGCAAACTTGACTGTTAAAATTAACTCTGTATCAAACAAAGGACTAGACACATGACACTTGTTACGTAATATCTGCTATTCAATTAAAGTATCTAATATATTAGTCCTACAGGAGTGGTGGTCAATCGCGAGCCTGAAAAACTCATTGTTAATGTCGATGTTACTTCCTGATTCACACATGTTCCAGTTATTGAGACTATTGACTTTGTATGCAAAGAAGCTGACGACATAACTATTCCAACATGAGAACTGAGGAAATTGTTGATTTTTATGCACTAAAGAGAAACCTGCAATTTCAATTCGATGGGCGTTTATTCCGTCAAATCGATAGTGTGGCGATGGGTAGCTGTTTGTAGATTCATTCTTATCGGGCCTAGAAGCGAGTAGTTTGCAACATTATATACAAAATCACTTTAAAACTTTACAGTTATACACAGTATTCTCGAATGTCATGGAAAGGTCACTACATGTCATCTGTTAATATCGATTGAGTAAAAAAAATATGCTTAAAATTACACATGAAGAAAAATAATGAATGAATCACGTAATCCAAGAACATTAAGTGAAGACACATACACTCCAAAAACAATCTCATTATATTGTGAATAGATTTAATTCGTAGATGACGAGCTACTGAATGTCTTCAAGATGAGATTTGATAATCACTGGTTTAGTGTTACTTGTTAAGATGGTGAGTGCGTCATTACAAAAAGTCTTAAAATGAATCACTTCCTGATGCACTTCTATTCTGAATGGTTACCTAGGTGATGTATGTTTGCAATCAAATCAACTTTGAGAAGAATTTAGATAATCCCCGTAAATTTAATAAGTTAGGGCCGAAAAGTGTGAGAAGATTTCTCCAACTTTGTTTTACCATTGTTTAGATGTATAGAGTTAGCATCAAACGTGTTTTCAGGAGTAAATTGATTGACTTTTCAAGGGTGATCAGTGTTATGCATTTAGTTCTTAGTGTTGGTGCTAATTGAATTCCATTAGTTAGTTTTGTAATATAGTCATCAAGGTGTAGGAGGTTAATCACTGAGGTGTATTTTGAAACTGGTGTTATGTGGTTGGAGAAAGTAGTCGGTAGGAAACGCAGCAGCGTGATTTTGAGCTTATTGGCAGTTGTCAACAAGGTGTATCTCTAACATCGGTGAAACTAATGTCCTCTCAGTGATTCTAATCCATGTGATACAATTAACATTATGGAGTGTTGGTTTGTAGGGATTTGATTGTTCACAGGTTTGATGGGAGTACTCAAACCGAAGATACTGGGTTCAGACTCTAGTGGCTGAGTACCTTTGAAGAATCCCAGAATAGGACGAAACAGATATTAAGTACTCCAAGCGGGTTTCCCCATTTTTCTCCAACTGGTGTCAACTCTTGAACATGCTTGTAACTAATCAAATTCCTGCAGACTAACACTTGGTAATAATTTCCCTATTGGAACACCGAGGGAACCATATCAAATTTCAACATAGATTCATATTCATTTGTTGGGAAATGCACTGACACAAATAGTGTGTCTTATCCTCTTTAGTTGATAATGGTTCATGATGAAATTTACACTGCAACAGCTTGGTGTTTTAACATTCCATTTCAAATTTATTCTGTCATTATATCTGTATTCCGTATGAATGGAAAAGTGAAGTTTAGTATTCGAAATCACAATATACTCAAGATGATTGGTACATAGGGCTTCAACAACACATCTTCATTGCATTCTCTTCTCTCCAGTTCTCTTCATCTGGCTTCGTGATTCCCTGACACGATTTCCTCCACATAACCCTTAGACCAACGCCAAATTTGTCGTTTCCCATTAAGTTTACAGTCGATGACCTGGTGCGAAATGTCTTTCATCGGTCTCCCCAGAATATGACCAATATACCTCCATTTTCTTCGGAATATTTGTTGAGCAATAGGCTCTTCCTGGTCATATGACTTTCAACGTCAAGCATAGACACAGTTGTTGATAAAAGTTTGAAGCTCGTTCAAAATGCGGTTGAAAAAACTGTTTGTCGCAGTCCAGTTTGATTAGAATTTGGTTTATCGGTAATCGGGCTATGAAGCATATAATCACTTTGTTAGGATTGATGGTACTTATCCAGTTGCTCAAGATGAGGTAGGTGGAAGCAGAGGGGAAGGATTCGAACCTAGGGCCTATTGGCTAAAACTCGAGTGCTCAAGACAATGCACTAGTGGTTCTAAATATCTGCAGCTAGAGAATTTAATGATCTAAGCACAATGATCAAATGTTTTTATTCTATGGATTTGGAATATACTTCACATATGTTGAATGGCCATAATGATTCCCGGATGAGGTTGTCTGTCTGTCTGTTTTCGACATAGAACTTTGCACCGATGTACAGCAGTTCAAGTCGCCACACTCCCTCAATGTAGCACACAAAGCAACAGAAGAAAGTAGAAGAAATGCATAATAGAGACAGTAAACAGTTGTGAGACAAAGGAATTGTAGTAACGAAGAATAAAACAGTTTCATTGGAAATCATAAGTCACAAGGAGTGGATGCGTCTGCGCCAGCCAGCCATTGAGAACGATTTTGAGCCATATCACCAATTGTTTCCAGCCGTCATTGGTTTTTACCGTCCCGAGGACCCCAACCAGTCAGGAAGTCTACACCTTCCTACGTGGCTTAAACTAACTGTTGTGGATTTCATTGACTGATGAGGCCATGTTTTGGTTTGACCGCCACTAGTTCTTTTCCAGCCTGACCCTATATCAGCTAACATTGCCCGTCAATCGAGGAAGGCGATGAATAGGCTAGGCATACGTAACACATGCCCTAACCATCTAAGTCGATGTAATTTTACAGCCTCGTCGATTGATTTCCCCTCCTTACGTAGCACTCAACAGACGCCTAACCTGAATATTGCTCACCTTATTATATCACTTCACACGGGAGATAAAACGCAGGCACCTATGATCAAAGACAACTAATCTTTTCATATCTTCCACTCTCACAGCTGTCTATAAAGGAGGACGGAGCGGACTGATGAGCAGTACACCCGCCCTTTGGTCGACAGCCAACCGGATATCATGTCTACGCCAGAGACGGCGTAAACTGGCATATGCGAAACTAGCCCTCTGTAGCCCTTGCTGAGATTTCGTCAGAGATCAACCCGTTGGGTACTGGCTGATGGTACTTCCCAAGTAAGTGAAGTGGTCAAGACGCTCTACCACTTCACTTCCTATTTCTAAACTAGGAGTCAGTGTGGTCCAGTCCTGTACCATCATGTTGCATTTGGCGGGAGGTTACCGATTTGAGGTTTAAAAGTCCAGCTATCAAATTGTCAGAGTTTATTTTCCAAACAATACTAAGAAGTACACATTCAATTACAGGGTATTTCCTAAAGAGGAGACTTTTGAATTTCCAAGTACAATTTAAATAAATATCTTGCTGATGATAACAATAGGAGCTAAAACTGATAATATGTAGACTCTGGTTGTCTCTCTCAATAATATATTGATTTCTTTTATTTCATTGTATACCCTGTATAAACAAAGTCAAAGAAAAACTGAACTCATTAAGTCATACGATATGAATTACACACACACACACTACAACAAACATCACTGAGATAAGCCAAACAACAATGTCAACAATAATTATTTTCGTTATATTCAGTCAGACTAGCTGATTTTGTTTGTATTATTAATTCACTAAAGTGTTTGATGGCATCGATTTGTCGTTCAAATAAAGGCTGACTAATGAAGCAGAGTAAGTCACGCTAGGTATCATGGTGAACATGCTGGTCTCCTTAGGAGATTTGGAAAACTCTAATTT